TCATGCACGACACTCATGGATATAGCTATTTGTATTATTGACAAAAAAAACATTCTTTTAAAAATGATGTTGTAAATATTTATTCCACCACCTCTAAATTTGAAAGGAATTTTTGTTTTGCACCAAGCAAACGTACAAATTGGCAATAGAATAAATTTGTTTGATCCAAATATATTAAACACAAACTTAAATATCAAAGACTCAAACTCATAAAATCTCCAGGGAGTAATTTCATATTAAATGTATAAAAACAGCTGGATGTTCTTATCTTGAGATTAGAAATATTAACAGGTCATGATAAAATTTTTAGCTGATAAAGGAAAACTAGAACTCTGAGGTAAAATGAGAATTTGATGATGTTGGGGGTTCAATTAACAGGTGATTAGGCTTAGTTTCATCAATATTTTAACACCTTTGACTGCTTGACTTGATTTAAAATACTTTACAACTGGTCCTATCTGTTTAAAACAGTTTTAATCTTTCAACTTTATCATTTCTGCGACTGGTCAAATTTATGAAGACCAAAAGAACATTACAAAGTGACCAGACAAATGGACATGTTTCAAATTACTTGACTCCATAAAGCTCTTTCATCAACACCCAGAATATGAACTATCTGCTTATAACCGTCAGTTACTATGACGTTCAACTGCATTTAAATTATTTTTAAAAAAAAATATGTACAATCTAATTTGGAACCTTTTAATTTGTGGCCAGCAGCTAGGTGGCTAAAACATCCATTGCATAGAGAAATAGTATAAACAAAGGAAGTAGAATAGAAATCAAAATGGGGTTTAACATCCTTTTATGCACCAATTAGGCATATGAAGCAGGGCCAGTTGTAGAAAATCTGGGTTTCATCAGTTTCAGAGGCCTGAAGTTACAGATTTAAGGCCAACTATGCTTTACTTCACAACTAGTAATTGATTAATACATAATACACACTATGAATGGGATTGCCTGGAAAAATTTTAATTTGGTGAGCTGTGGGGCCCCTTTCTAGTGCAGGAGAATGGGTGAAATGTGCCAAAAAACGGCCCTGATATGAAGGCAGGGATGGGAATAGAAGCTAAGTCGCCTTTATCCTAAGAAGGCATGCATTTTCCATCTCCAAATTTTATGTTTATGAGAGATAGAGAAATGGGGTTTAATGTCCACTCGACATAAATTAGGCTATTTATGACTAACATATTGTTCAATACATTTCAATAATTCGACTGCACACAGGGGTCTTTAGCAGAGGGTGGAAACCAGACGACAAGGAGTTAGACAGGCGACCTATAAATTTATGAGAAGAATTACTACAAAGATTATATCAGTGCTTTAAAATAGAGGCTTGATTTAATGATTCTATTGTAAATAACCTGTAGAAACAATTCTAGTCAATTTGATATTGTACTTTATATTTGATGAGGCTACCAGGAGAGTAGTTGATCTTCCTGGAGATTTTATAATCCAAGTTTATAGCAGGGGGTCTCTTCTATTCCTGTGTTTTATAAGCAAGGATACAGCAGGGGGTCTCCCATACTCCTGAGTTTTTATAAGCAACGATGCAACAGGGGGTCTCCCATAGCTCCTCATTTTATAAGCATGAATGCACCAGGGGGTCTCCCCATACTCCTGCCTTTTTATAAGCAAGGATTCAGCAGGGGGTCTCTCAAACTCTATCTCTCATCAGCTGGTCCGTAGATTTTTATTGACAACTAATATCTACACCCATAAAAGTTATCATATCTTTAAATACACTTCATATCCAATAACATCCTAAGTTTATTTTTATCTCAACATGTTTTTATGAGTAGATGGCCAGAATGGAATATACATCAATTTATCTGATACTGATGGTATCTGGCTTTGATTTCTGTATTTGTACTTCAATAATGTTTTATATTTGTTGAATGGTGAACTATGTCACATATTTCAATATCCCAATTCAGTAAAGAAAAAAGGCTAATAATTATTCTTATTATCTAAAATTAATAGGCGGACCAGAAATTTGATCAGAGACCAGAGAAATTTGGGCAGTTGCTGGGGAGAGAGAGAGAGAGAGAGAGAGAGAGAGAGAGAGAGGGGGGGGTTAACACACTGGACACAAACATTTGGTTTAATTTTATTTCTATAATCCGATGGACCCGGAGAAAACCCACGAGGTTGGACAGATGACCCTACTCCTTGTCACGTACAACCGTGGAATCGAAACCACGCCAGTTGACTCAATGACAGGCTGCAGTCGTAGGAACGCAAAAATATAGTTACAATAACATAGATTATTGGTATACAAAAGCTCCTAATCATTTTAATAGTTCTAGGTCATGATTAAATTGCTAGGAACCATGCAATTCATTCAAATTTGGTTCTTTATATAGAATCCGAGAAGAGGGACGGCAACACTCCCTTGACAAGGTGACTAAAGCTGGACAGACTGATACATCTGCGTGGATACTAGATCAAGCAAAAGATACTGGTGGGGCAGAAGGGGAGAATAAAATTGAATTTAAGAATCACCACTCAACAGTAGCACAACAGACTTGGTAGCAGTGAAGATTTGTTAAATGATAACGTTTCGGGTTGTGATACCCTTTTTCACACAACCCAAATAAATAAATTTTCACTGCTACCAATTGTGCTACTGTTGAGTGGGGAATTCTTAAATTCATTATATTGAATTAGTTTAAAGAGTTGTTCTTCTTCTTTCTGCATGTGTATATGTGTATGAAAAGTATGATAAAAGAGTATGTTAAGAGCAGTAAAACAACTTGTATTATTGAAGATTGTTGTTTGTAAACATGTGAGATATTTTTGCATCTGTCGACAGGAACAAGTGTTTCAGTCACGGTGGAGAGAGAGAATCATTTCATGTAGATAACACCTGTCAGAACTAGCACTTTCTCAAGACAAGAATAAACATGAGCAAACGTAAACTAATAAATTTTAATCATGAAGCTACCTGTTTCATCCCCAATGTAATTGAGTAGAAAATGTTTACTGGTTGGCGGCATTTTTAATTCAATTAAAAAAGAGAGAGAGAGAGAGCTAGAGAGGGAGAAATGGGGTTTAACGTCCACTCTACACAAACTAGGTAATTTTGGGACTAACACATGGTTCAATTTTATTTCAATAATTCGCTTACGTGTCGGTGTTTTTAGCAGTGGGAGGAAACCGAAGGACCTGGAAAAAACACACGAGGTTGGTCAGGCGAACATACTCCTCATCACGTACAACCGGGGAATTGAAACCATGCCAGTTGACTCAGTGACAGACCTTATGATACAGCCCGCATGTGCTAACCATTCGGCCATCCAACCCTCCTAATTCAATTAAGAAACTGACTGCAAGCCCCCTTTCCTTTGACAACCCCTACCCAACTAAAACGAAACACAGCAAACAGATCGCTAACAGACCATAAGTTAGTAACTGGCCTAATTTCGATCTCCCACACACCCACCCAACCAAAAACACTCATCATAAGTCATCTACAACAATTTTGTGGAGTAAGGGATAATTATACATACACATAAAGAATTTTAATTTAAATTTAAATCATATCTTCCGTACAACAGCTGACTCCATCCCCCTCTAACACCTGCCTAGCCCTTTTTTTTAACGTTTAAAATTTAAGTCTACAATTTTATCACGTCTGACATCCAAAACTCACGTCACATTAACATACGACTTTATTGTCCGTTGACCAAATAGACAAAAGGATGTTTGTACGAAATAATAATAGTAGTTAAGTCAATAGATTATTATCAGGGAATTTTTTTGTTGTCAAAATGGGTAGGGTTTATCCATTAGTCGATTTTTATTGGTATACGTTTTACGTTTAAAGATCATAATTTAAGATAAATCGTTTTATCTGATCGATGATTGGTACACAGTAGGCGTTATTTGATGTATTGTGGTACTAGTCAGATCAGGATCGCATTATTAAATAAAAAGTTTTAAATGTTTAGAAGGTGAATCAGTACTGAGACAGATACTATCAAAACACTCTGTATAAATATATAATGAACTAAAGGTGATATATATAGGCTATGATCGAGAATTTCCTCAAACACGTAATGGAATATTAAGCTTTGATCTGAAGTAATTCAACTTGGGATTCAACTTCAATTGGCTATATATATAAAGATTCTGAAGTATTTTGTTTTATGTTTGGTTTTTTTTTCAGTTTAAAATACGCAATATGTACTTGAATACCTTCCATAGATATTTCTTCAATGAAATGTGGTTTAACATTCTACTTTTCTTCACCAAGGCATTCTCGATCTCTGATGGCTTTTTCTTGTTGTCTAGAGTGTCCACACATTTGTCTGTTTTTTTCCCCACCCTATTTATTTACATCTGTTTTTTTCTGGCTTACATATATTTATGGTTCTTATTTTTAAGTTCATTTTCACGATTGGCCGATGATATAGGGGATTTAGTAGAACTCTTTCAATACAGAGAGATGGGGTTTAACATCAACTCGAAACAAACCAGGTCATTTCGGGACTAACATATAGTACAATTTTATTTCCATAATTTGCTTTAACAGTGGGAGGAAACTGGAGGACCCAGAGAAAACCCACGAGGCTGGACAGGCGACCTCACTCCTTGTTACGTACAACCGGGGTATCGAAACCATGGCAGTTAACTCAATGATAGACCTTATGATACAACGTGCAAGTGCTACCCATTCGGCCATCCTTGTACTTAGTGATTTCAAGGTAAAAATATGTCTGATGTAGGAGATCAGAGAACCAATCACTGCAATTCGTCCATCCCCCCCACCCCACGTTTCAATCCAATCAGTGTGAAATAATGCTATACAAATATTTACATCAGAATCAGGCCTCCCAAATTTTTGCCTGACCCAATTCCTGTACTCGGCGATCTCAAGGTATAAATATGTCTGATGTAGGAGATAAGAGCACCAATCACTGCTGTATAGTTTTTCAATATGTAAGATGATTTAGTGAGGAATCCTACTGGAGTGTAAAAACTAGAACTTGACTTACCTGTTGATTGCAATTTCCACCTGGACCCACTCTCATATATCCTCCTCCACTGACAGACGTGTTACCTTGGTGACAGAGTTTGATATTTTCCAGAATCTTTGTTCGTACTTCCTTCATACTGTAAACACAAATGGCGGAATCCGTCTGCGCATACTGCTCATCGTAACGTGAGAACAAACCAACTAACACATCTTGCTCCGGTTCGATTAACAGAGAAGCGCGTAAATCCAATGACGGTACCACAATGGCTGCTGCTTTGATGATGTTATAATCCTTGTTACCAGAAACACATTTTAAAGGCATGTCCGCGTATGAGAAGAAATTGGGATCATTTTGACAAATATGAACTATTTTCGTGATGTTTTTGATTTGTCTCGTAGGATGGATCGAAGCCTTCTGAACCGTGAGAAAGTAACTATAATGCAACGAGCTGAATCCTGCCACGTATTCTATTGGATAGATGGCGGCAACTTCGCGCTTTAGATAAATGGAAGAAGACTTTCCTTGAAGGACATCAGTAACGGCAGCCAATGAGAATCGTTCACTTCTTAAGCTACGACTACTCAGCGCAGGCACTTCATCGCGATAAATTTTGTTTTCTCTTGTTTTTCCAGTATACGCTGTACCAACATAAAGAACATCTTGTGCATTAGGGCCTGGAGCAACAAAGGCTACAGTTGAGGCATTGGGTTCGTTGGCAGCAACAGCGTAATCCGTGACACTATTTCCGTCGTATAAAACCCTAAATTTGGTGATGTCGTCTAAATTTCTCATTTCACAAGCACCTTGATATATACTACCGCAAGTGATAAGTTTCTGACGATGCCGATCGATGACTAGAATTTTATTGTAGTTATCCGTCCTTTGTTTTGGGTAGGAACACGAATCTGTGGCAGGTAAACAGTTGGGGCTATCGTTCCGGGGTCCTGTTCCTATCTCTGCTATCGTGGTTAAATTGGCATCTAATTGGTATATTTTATTCACAGCCCCGATATAAACTGTTCCTGTATAGTTGTCTATTGTCATTTTATTCAGGTTTCCACCCAAATATTTCCCATACACCAGCTGCCCAAACAGGCCAATAAATAAAGTTAAAATTCCTAAAATGGCAGCCATTTTGTTTGGCTATATATCTCTCTTTTTTTAATTATCAGCAAAATTCATGTCGTTCGTTATCATCTATGCCATATTTCTTCTTTATGACCTTGACACATCATTCAAACTGAAAGAACAAAAGAGAAGACGTCATAATCAGATTTCTACGCCTGTCAAAGATTTACCCACACAACCAACCAGTAAATTGGTTTCTCAAAGTACACCACCAAAAATGAAAATTCACTATTGGAATAATCAAAAACATTCTCTATATTGAGTTTGCAAAAGTCACAAAACATGGACGAATGATACTAGAATTTATAAAGATACTTCCAGAGGATCCAGAGAATCTCTCTATACTGAAATATAGCTAGACATTTAAACAATTTCTGAACTAATAGCCCATTCAGACGCTTCAGTTGAACTGGTTTAAAAACCCCAGGGATCGTTAAACCAGTTTAACTTAGCTTCTGAATGCAAATGTGGGGCAAACAAACCAGTTTAAAAAAAAACAGCTCGCGACCTGTCTTCGAGAAGGCTTTTTATTTTAAACTGGTTCATCTTAGCCATCTGAACGGGTTGGATTAAAAAACCCGGCTCCAGCTTGCTTTGAGCATGTGCAGTAAGCAGTAAGTTACATTCCTGTGAAAATATCGGGGTCAATGCTATCGAAAGCGTGCAAGAACCGAATAAAAAATATGAAGCTACCCATGCGTCCATGCGTAGTTAACTCTAACCTCCGACCGAAGAGGTCAGAATAGTTAACTGGTTTGGCTTATAGTACGTGTGAACGCAACACGATGCTGTCTTAAAAACCCCAGCGATTATGAAATGGTTTAAAAAAAAGCGTCTGAACCGACCTATTAGAGGTCTAAACTGTCAACTTAGCTAAACAAAAAAATTACAAATTGGAACTTTCACCAAGTCAGATTGGCGTTTAAATTCCAAATTTAAACTATAAGTCAAAGATAGTAGACAGCTTTCGTGAACAATACAGTGTATGCTTTAAAACTTTTCCACTTCCCACGCCACTTATCCCAGAACCAACATTAGCAATTTCTCTCGAATTTAATGTCGGACGAATATATAATTTCCAATACGACATCCTTATTCAAACATTCATTTACAAACGGAAAATGTCAAAGTGGCAATTATTTTCTCTTGATCTTATTATGTAAAACTACGAACCATACAACATGACTTAATGTAAAACGTTACTTAAAATTCTATACATGAACACAGGGACTTGAACCGAGAACAAACTAATACCCACAAGTTAATGGACTGTAAATAAGCCACACAAAAAACTTCTTGGTAGAGCAGTATTTAAACGCAGAACATGAAATACATGCTAATCAAATCAGAATTAATTTCTGGAGTCACCTCCATCTTGGTTCTTTTTGCCTAAACTCCATTAATTCAAAATACCAAAGAAATGAAATAGGGGTTTAACATCCTACTTACAGCATCAACTGGGCTAAGGAGAGAGAGAGAGAGAGAGAGAGAGAGAGAGATGGGGTGTAATGTCCACTCGACACAAACTAGGTCATTTCGGGACTGATCATATGGTTAAATTAGATTTCAATAATTTGTTTGTGCGCAGGGGTCATTAGTAGTGGGAGGGAAATGGAGTACCTTGGGAAAACCAATGAAGTTGGACAGGCAACTCTACTCCTTGTCACATACACCCACGCCAGCTGACTCAATGACAGATTTTTATTCTTTGCTTTAAGAAATCACTCTAATATTGTCATGAACAATGTCTTATTCAAAATTTAGAACCAAGGAGTTTTTGTTTTTAATTTAGTTTTCCTCGGCAAATAGGAAGCAAAACCTTAATACAAATTGATGTGGTCAAATAAATAATTAGCTTCACTTAATCGCAAAAGCAGCATGTATATAAAACATTACACCCATTTCTTTCCTACATTATCTAACAAATTTGGCACTAAAAACTATTCAGAAGAACAACCCATTACTTTTGGTTTACAGATTAGTTTAGATGAAATTGGCAGCAAAATATAAACTGGTGTGTTCTTTTAAATAATTTGCTTGAGTTAGTCTCAAAATGACCATTTTGTATACAACGAAACATTACACCCATTTCTTTCCAATATTATCTAATAACATCTTACACAGAAAATAAAACCCAACTTACATGTGTCGATCGTGGGCCAGAGCGATTTCTGTATTATCCGTTCCCCTGGGATACGTACAATAATCTACCCTAGATCTTATTGTCTTATAGCACACGATAAACAAAAACTTAGCAAAGAAAATTGATTTGAAGACAAGTAAATGGTGACAAAAATAAACACTCCAACGTTTAGAAAGTAAGGATTTTTGCTAGTGGCCAACATACTTACATGTGAGAACACGCTAAGTCGTCGTTTTTGCGAGATAAAAACGAGAGATTGTGTAAGATGTGTGTAACCAACTCTTGAATGGTATTCAGTAATCAAATATAGATAGCTTAAGCTGCACTCTAACTTGGTTTTTTCTTTTGTTTGAATTTTTTTAATTCTGTCTCCATGTTCGTTCAATAAAAGCACAATGTTTTTAACATTTAGAAACTTTTTCATCGTACATCATACAAGGAAGGACAGGATGAAGTATGATTACCATAACAGATTGATCTTTTTGAGAATTTTGCCCGGACTGCAGCGTTTCTAAGCAACATCATTATACAACATTGGTTATTATCAAATTATTTAATATATACTTAAACGGTTTGTTTAACTTATAATTAGGGGGGTTGGGTGGCCGAATGGTTAGTACGTACGAGTTGTATCATTATCATAAGGTCTGTCATTGAGTCAACTGGCGTGGTGTATAATCAACACAACTAGGTCATTTTGGGACTAATCTATGGTTCAATACATTTCAATAATTCTCTTGCATGTAGGGGTCTTTAGCCGTGGGAGCAAACCGGCTGACCCAGAGAAAACCCACGAGGTTGGACAGGCGACCATACTCCTTATCACGTACAACTGGGGAATTGAAACCACGCCAGTTAACTCAATGACAGACCTTATGATACAACACGCATGCGCTAACCATTCGGCCATCCAACCCCCCTTACTGGTTTTAAGCTTTTGACTACAAAAAAAAAAAAAAGTTGGCAATCAGCCCTTGTATCTTGTGTCAAAATCTGATTATATGTATCAGTACCCTGGAATCTCTGACACAAGTGTTTCCCATCTTGTTGAAGTTTAACAAATGATCAAGCTAATTTCCACCAACTGATACCCTTGTTTGAGTTCTTCACATGTCAACATGTAAAGTTAATAATAAATTAACTCCTCTAATTATGACCATGTGGGCCCAGTAAATATAAATCTAATCAGGCATATAGATTTATAAGTAATTCATTAACGCTTTACATTAAATCAACCTCAAAGATATCCCAAGTTTTTAAAATCTAATACATATGTTACACATCCTGTTTCCACGGTTCCAGTTTTTTTCGCTTTTCAAAAAGATTTTGTCAAATCTCTTCATTAGCAAATCTAGAATATTTTCGAAGACTTCCAGTTACTCTATCCATTAGCAGAACACTTGCTATGAATAACCGAGAGATGGTAATTCCCATTCAATGAACGACGAATCGACGACCACTAGACATTCTAATACGCTAAAAGCATTTTGAATCCTTTTTTCTCCTTCCTGGAACCAAATCAGATGTAAATCCTTTCAATTACTCAAAAATCCATATGTGATATTTTGTTCGTAATATATTGAAATTTTTTATTTATTTTTTTACGATCTACCATTATTAATACAATCAGTATAGAAGTATATAAAGACAGAAATGTACACCCTATTAATTTTTTTTTACATGTTCCGTAATTTCTCGTTATTTCATTCAATTGATTCATCATTTCAAAATAAATCACAAATACTTTTTATAGAATCATACTAGTAATTCAACTTAGGATAAGTGCATAAAGAATTTGCTAAATTATTTTGAGGCTAAAATTTTTTAAATTAATAGAAGGAATAAATAAAGTTACTTCTGGCAAGACGTGGTAGTAAAGTGTTTCTTACATGAGGTAGAATTAATATGCTTAATCCTTAATCTTTAATCCTTATTACATACAGGAGCACAATACCAATTTTTCAATTCAACCTTTTTAGAGTTTGGCCTATCCCTTCTTTATGTTTATTACTAATATAAGTATTATGTCAAAATAATTTAGTCCAATAGTTCTAATTTGTTATTCAACCTTTTTAACATAATTGACAGAGCATTGCCTATGGCTTCTTTATGTGTATTAGTCATACATTTCTTATATCAAGACAGAATAATATGCTTAATCCTGATAAAACACCTGATAATACTTCTTACAGATTTGGGAAATTCACATAGGTAACATTTTCTGTTGAACATCTACCATTTAATCACAAACGAGTCGTCAAGTACATTTTATTACATCGTGCTACTCATGAATTGTGACGAGCAAACAACCCTTAACCAACCCTTGACAATCACCCTCCACGACACATCAAAAAGTGCAAATACCAAAAAACACACAACATGAGAATGTCACTTGAATTATTTGTAATTTATAAAGGAGAATAATGTGTTTATTTTACCTTGTGTCAATTCACCATTGTGTAACTCGCATGTTAACTCACAAAAAAAAACCACACAATAATCCCCAGTCTACTTCTACTATTATAAATCACATCCTTGAATTGTTGTCGATGACGACGGGATACTACTATACATTGACTATACTCACTTCAACGACAACACACACACACTCACAAATGAAAAAAAATATAACCCTGTCTTCGTCTGTGATTCAGCTCCAGTAGACACTCGGTAACGGCTCCGAGAGCAGTAAAGCGTGATCAAAATACATGCTGGCTTCAGCTGATAATGGCCACTTCAGCCCCGTGCTTCTATTCTACACATGTTAATTAAAGCCATCAATATTCGAGGAAATTGTCAATTCACGTGTGCGGACTCTTCAAGCAGGCTGACCAGTTTAGAATGAGAGAAATTGACTACAGAAGAAGACAAATAACCCAGTATTTGCTCACCCAGGGTCCCTCTTCAAATCAGCCATTGTTCTTTTGGAAAGATATCATGGTAAATCATCCTATAGACAATTTGATAATAATGTTGTTTAATTGGTCCGTCTGACAAAACGAGAAACATCCCATCCATGTGAAAAATGACCGACTGCCTCTCCATGATGTCTTGTTGGCTTCCCAAACATGCCACACAATAAAATTGCCAGACACAAATTAATTTTCACTCCGCGATAAATCTTCCATCTCATGGCTTGACTCATATTTGCATGTCGTTTTATGATCTTGATTTTAAATTACTTCTCTTTTATTACAAGGGTAACTTTGTGCTGGATAATTGAACCAAAAAAAAAACACCAAATCATTCTGACGGTTGCTAGCACAGTCAAATTAAATATAAATGCACAAATAGAAATGAATTTCATTCGATTCACCAGAGAGAAGTGAATGAAATACAAAATCAAATTCAAAGAACCAGACTAGACTAATCCAGAGAGAGATGGGGTTTAACATCCACTCGACACAAACTAGGTCATTTCTGGACTAACATATGGTTCTATTTTATTTCAATAATTCGCTGGCGCGTAGATGTCCGGAGAAAACCCACAAGGTTGGACATGCAACCCTACTCCTTGTCAGGTACAACCGGTGAATCGAAACCACGCCAGTACACTCAATGACAGACCTTATGATACAACGTGCACCCGCTAACCATTCGGCCATCCAACCTCCAGAAAAGTGAAAAGAATCAAAATCAAATAAAATGATATAGGACTTAATGTCCTTCATTTCTGTGCCAACAGGGTTAATGAAGGCGGTGGGTGCACGCCATGTAGTGTGCTGCGAGTTAATTTTGTCCAAACAAAGGCATTTGTTTCCGAACAATAAATGCAAATTTGCACCAAATGAAATAATAATAATAATAATAAAAAAACATCCAGACCAATTATAATTCCACAAAAAATTGTCAACATCTTTAAAGACTGCATGTAACAGAAAAAAAGAAAACACCACCATATTATTATGCCAATCATTTCAGAATGTCAATTTAGACATTCAAAATTCCACTGAATAAAATCATACTGTTCTCAATACCACAAAAGAAATACCAAAAAACAATCGCCATTTTTTAACCTACTTGTTAAAAACACACACGACCGTTTTAGCATTTTTTCTGGATTAAGACTGAAAAGACAACGAAGCAAGGTTGATTTCGTGTTTAAAGACAAACTTTGTTTAAAATTTAGCATATTTACTCGGCTAATACCTTGGCTAATATCACCATGACGCTAAAGAAAATGTCTACAGCAAGGGGAGATAATTCCAACATGTTTTTTTTAAAGCCTTTAAATGAAACTTAACAGACAATGTGGCGTTACTTTTATGATTTATAACTAGAATTGTATCTCAAATTAAGAAAGCCAGTTTTAATGTAACATTACATAAAGTAAATTAGACATTTTGACTATCGGCGACTTCTAGAAACATTTCGTCTTTGTTCAATCGGTGTCTCGAGTCAGAGTTCAAATTGATGTGAGCATAAACCTCACGTTCGCATGTAATCATTGTTTACACAGGGACTTGTGGGTAATTAAAGGACCTCGAAGAAATGAGCTGACTGATGAGAAATCAAGTGATTGGACGAACCACCGACTTAGATCGTAAAATATTGGCGTCAAACTAATGTGCCTTTGGAGTTGTCCACGGTATTAATTAGTAAGCATGTATCTTATTTTATATATGACAATTACCGATTAGTGTGTGGTTTACCAAGTCGAACATTTGATCCATATACAAATACATGGAATGTACTTTAGCGGAACTTTTACTTTAGTGAAATATTGCAGGTCAGATTTTGATCCAAGTAGAAGTTGAGTCAATAATCTTTTGGAGATTGCAAATTGTTTGAATGCAAATTGTTGCTTAAGTTCAAATCATTGTAATTAAAGTCAAAATTCAGGTTTTAACACAAAAGGGTTTGTATTAATAAAAAAACAATTATCCAGGCTTGAAGTCATAATAAGACACATCTATACACAATAACCCATAAATGTGTATTAGTTAATACAATATCACTAATAGAATATACAACATTCCCCTAAAAGTATTAATAGAATATACAGAACTCCCGTGAATATACAGAACTCCTGTTTAATAGAACATACTAATAATTAACTAATTTACTAATTATATATACCTCTGAAAATACACTGGCTACTGTGTAATATCCACCCTAACAATAAACATACATATCATACCAACACAGTATAATGTATATATCTAAATATAAACAACTACTGCATATATCACATAGAATATACATAATGTAACTGTACAATATAGGATTATCATATCATATATACAAATTAACTACTGTGTAATATAAAATATATGTATATTACATAGAATATACTGGACTGATATTCCCTTTAGAAATTCAACTTTAACAATATTGTAGCTTGCAACTGAATTGAATACAACATCAACATCATCAGTATCAAATAATAGAGAATTATATGAATCTAAAACACACTTTTATGGAATAACAATTACTATGGTTTATTTCACTGCAACGTTTCAACAAGGTTTCACAAGTTGTTATCATGTGTATATGCTTGATAACGACTTGTGAAACCTTGTTGAAACGTTGCAGTGAAATAAACCATAGTAATTGTTATTCCATAAAAGTGTGTTTTTGATTATGTTCCAATTACTAAATGCCATTCAAGGGAGAATTAAATTAATCTAAAATTATTATTTAAATTTATACAATTAAAGTAATTTATTTATTTATATTGTTATCTCACATTTTACATACATGTCTTGATAAACGATCAATTAGTCCATCTTTTTATAACTCATGTTTTACCCTGCGTTTGTCTCTCGGTATTGATTTCAACGCCTCACTCGCTTCAACGTCAAATAATATTAATACGACGAAAAACACACATAACATGACATGTACACAATGTCGTTTGAAAGGACACTCGTATCATTGTGCCGTTAGAGAAAAGATTTAAATATTTCAATTACGAATCAAGGAGCAGGTAGACGCCTAATCAAACATCTTCTTCAATAGATCAGTCACACTTCAGTCGCGCGGTGTAAGGTGATAAAATATTTGATTGTCCAATCCTAGAAAATTGAATCACTGGTCTGACTATTGTGTGGTTTGGGCTGACATGTGCTAGTTATGTAAGATATTGTCCTCCATTTGGTTTAAACATAAAGAAGAAATGTGCTTTTATTTATTCAGCTGACCCTTATACTTGTAATTTTCATTTTAAACCCTTGATAAAGATCCTTTCAAATCCCTAAATCGGTTTTAATCTAGAATATATTTATTAAATCTCTAGACCCCTGTTGGCTATTACTCTTTTAATCTGGTCCCAACGAAAACTGTCTTAAAGTCATAGAATACTGATACCCTCAAAATCTTGGCAACAGTCAATAAATTATAATTCATTCAATACAATACAATTAAAACTATTTAAACATAACATATTCAAACACGCCATCCTTATAACTTCTATATTATTAACACAAAAAAACACACCAACCTTATAACTTCTATATTATTAAAACAACTTCTATATTATTAAAACAACAATTTAAACTAAACAGATTAAAACACAGATCCATATAATTATAGAATATTAGTAGAATAATTCTGACAATTTTAATAATTACAATTTATCACATGAATACAATAGAAAAATGTAAACAATTATGACCTTTGTAACCTGGTCTTGTGATGATTGAAATTCCTTCCTTAATCATCACTCATTATTTAATCATACTGTCTCAAAATACCACAGTTATACATAATTCTGTACTAGATGACCTCATCGTTATCCTGTTGATATGACCAGTCCATATCAGGATGACAGTTTAAAACATGTTTAAAGATCTGATTAAAACCTGAAGCTGATAGGATAACAGTGTAAGTTTAAACCATGTTTAAAGACCCGATTAAAACATGAAACTGAAATGAATACAGTTATTGAATTTAATAGAAGCGACTATCCTGTTTCTGCGACAAGTCTAATAGTAAGAGCAGGAGGACCAAACAACCCACAAAGAAAACTATTAAGACAAACCTATGAACAAGAATCAAGCTACACAGACATTGTAAGCAATAAACAAAAAATACCAGCAGTATGCGTATATCACAATAACAGTGTCAAATTAAAACATGAAAAAACTTGAACAAATCACAAAACTTTATGGGGAGAGAGGTGTGCAGTGCTAACCATTCAGCCATCCAACCCTCCTAAAATTTTATAGAATACAGTTACTGAATTAAATATAAGCAATGTTTCAATCTTGTTGATAATGTGCTTTATAAGCTTAGAGAGAGAGAGAGAGAGAGAGAGAGATATAATGTGCTTTATAAGCTTAGAGAGAGAGAGAGAGAGAGAGAGAGATATAATGTGCTTTATAAGCTTAGAGAGAGAGAGAGAGAGAGAGAGAGAGAGAGATAATGTGCTTTCTAAGCTTAGAGAGAGAGAGAGAGAGAGAGAGAGAGAGAGAGAACTACCCCATTTCCAACCTAAAATAATTTAATTTATTTCAATGTATTTTGTTTATGATTGGTTGTTTTTTCAACTTGTATTGTTTGGTCTGGGCTGTCCTGTAATGTCTATTTCACAATTAGAAAAACATTCTAACAATTTTCAAAAATAAATATGTAATGTGTTCTGTTCATGTAATTTTTTGTCTTGTATAGTCTGGGCTGTCCTGCAATGTCTATTTTATAATTCGAAATACATTCAAATAATTAAATTTTAAAAAATAAAACATGAGCTAAATCTTACCCCATTAACATGATATGTTCCTTGTTTTTTATATTTTATTAGAAACACAAATTTTAAGAATGATTTCCACCAAAAGATATCAACTCCTAAAGATTGACTTCAAGTAATGACAAGAATTCCAAGTCTATGATTATATATCCACAAACAGTCACACAGAAGGTACGCAGGTGATCGACTTCTATACCCACTGTTACAAAACAAACTAAGCTGTGAACTTTTCTCGTTTCGTTATCCAAGGTAAATCTTGACAGGTACAGGGTCCAATGGGGTCCAATGTTGGGTAGAGACTGAACGTTCAACCCTTCAACTTGACTTTACATACTGGTTAACAATAGGGACCTATTGTACTTGACACCAAGCTACTTTCTCCTTCACTGACTGTGGGCAGACTAGAGGCATCAGGGGATCAATTAGGACACACCTATATCAAGTCAAGTGGAACCCAACATACATATTAACACCATCTTACACAATTCACCCTAATCAAGCCTCCAGCATCATCTATTATTACTCAATGCTGTAATAATAAGGATGGGGTATAACTGTTCAAATCAATAAAAATATTTTTACAATCACTTGTTAAAAACTGACTGAAAGCCTAACAATGCTTTTCGTTTATGAATTACTCATCCATTGAAGGGCTGAACAATAGCAAGTCATAGAAACTCAATAGTTTCACCATTACTCAATTAATTATTGACCAAACTTCCTCAAAATTATGTTTTCTTAATGGCTTTATGATTACTCTACTTTTAATTTATAAGGTTTTTTCGAAGAATACCCAAAATTAGTAAAATTAGTCCTGTCTCCTTCCACCCTAATATCTTAGTGTTGAGCATTTGTCGAAATAAATTATCGACATTTTTACAAAATTACTTGTAAAAATCTCAAGCCAATTTAAAATAAGTATTTTCCATATATCTACCCGAACATGATAACAGAAATGAATTATCAACATTTTGACAAAATTCCTACCAAATTCTAAATTGAATTTAAAATCAATTATTTGCTGTATAACTCTCCAAAAGTAGGCTATCATAATTGAAAAAAATATTATCAACATTTTTACAAATTTGAAGTCAATTTACAAATAAATTATTTGTTTTAACTATGTGAATATAGTACTTGAAAAAAAAAAACATCCACATTTTGTACAAAATTGTTCAAAATTATCTAAATTGAATTTAAAACAAATTATGTTTTATTTCTATCCAAATGTAGGCTATCATAATTCTAAAAAAGTTAACATTTTTACAAAATCATTTATCAGAGAGAGAGAGGGAGAGAGATGGGTTTTAACATCCACTCGACACAAACTTGGTCATTTCGGGACTAACATATGGTAGAATTTTATATTAGAGAGAGAGAAAAATGGGGTTTAACGTCCACTCTACACAAACTAGGTCATTTCGGGACTAACATATGGTTTAATTTTATTTCAATAATTCTCTTGCGCATAGGGGTCTTTAGCAGTGGGAGGAAACCAGAATTTTATTTTAGCACACACATGCTAACCATTCAGCCATCCCCCCCACCCAAAAAAATATCAGAATATATTAATTGTGTTTTAGTCTTCACACTGTATATCAAATTTCTAGTACCTACAGATACCATCTTGAAGAATATCTAAAGTTTATTTAAGTTGATTTTCTTTTTTCTGTCCATACCATCTACATGTTTTAGCTTTAACAGATGTTTAAGCATAAATCAAATGTTATATAAAAATCACCAAAAATACACTTGTTGTTTTCTCAACAAAACTTTTTATTTTAAATATATTCTTTATTTTTTTTCATGACACAAGAATTCACAAATTCGTAAAAGCAAAAAAAAAAGGAGGGATTTTCAATTGTTACATAAAAAATACTTAAACTCTGCCATATATAGTAACACTTAATTTCTTTTAATCCATAAAAAAAATTGTTTGTAAGGAATTAATGCATATTTCTGGTATTTAATTTTCTAATCTTTTCCATTTTAGTTGTAAAGATTTGTAAATATAATTAAATCAAGTCATGACATAACAAACAAAAGTATACATTAACATTACTTAAAGATACATTATGGGAGATTAAATAAAGAGCTGACAGTTCTCGCTATTATAGTTAAAAACTAGATAGTGTAAAGAGAATATGCTGAAAATTTCAGTCACTCTGAACTGAGATATTAGCGATTGAATTTCAGGCCTAAAGTCAGTGCGATAAAAAAAATAGTCTCCGTTATCCTTTTTTGATTGAATGATCACTGAGCGTTGAGCAGCAGATTGGATTCAAATCCAGTGAAAATCTGACACATAAAGAAAATCGAAGCAAATTCTTAAAAGATATCCCCCCAAAAAATAAAATATTTTGACAGATATAAGGGGTTCTCAGTAAACTCTAAAATTTTAATAGGTGTTGCAACCAAAAACCTAAAATTTTATTAGGTATTGCCTAAGAACTAAATTTCAACTTGGTGTAGCCTTATATAAGAGGAAATTGGAATTACATACAACAATAAATAATCCTTGATAATATAATATTACATTTTCTTATTAATTAATCCCCTTTTCTTCAGACAGATAATAATCACCCCATAACATGTCTTCAAAAATAATTCAATCCTCTCTATAAACTTGCCTCTGGGACATTGGGCCTAGCAGACAATGGCTTCGTCTTATCAGTTTTTCATCATTAAATGAAAGAAAAAAACAAACCAGTATCAGATTTTTATGGTTCCTTTGATGATGTAATGATATCAGATAATAAGAGATAAATAGTCTAACAATGGACTATTTTAAACTCCCCTTCCTCCACCCCCTAGCATTCAGATGTTGCCGTGGACTATTAAGGCTCACCTCGACCCCTATTAAACCGCTATTGTGTTTTAAATATCCCTTTATTATCCCAGACTTCTCGAATTACATGCAACCCTCTTATTACACCACTTGGTGACCAAATCAAAGTCACATTATACCTTAATTCTTACATCCAACCCCTAAAATTAACCCCTAAATTGTTTGAGAAAACTGAACATCAGAAGTAACCACCGTGAAATAGTCGCGACACTTCTAGACCACATGGATACAGAAATAAAACCACTTTAAAGATCTATTCTTACATGACCAGCCCCTAAAATTAAACCCTGAAAGACAGGGCATTAAAACATGTCAGTAACAAATGGTTTAATTCTTGAGAATCCTTTTCCACTGCCTTTAAACCCCTTAAAATGATCATTAATTGTTGTAGTCAGTCAGTCAGAATGTGAAGACACATTTTATGTCCACAGATAATAAGACCTAGAAATCTTTATTCACAGATTTTGTTGCTTTTTAGTCCCCATTTCAACAACTCCCAAATGTTTTATTCTTTAAGAAAATAGATCAGAAATTAGAAAATGCAGGCCAACTGACTGATATTTTCAGCATTGTATTTTGTAACAATATTTATTCAGTATCTACAACATGCTGTATTTTTAGTGCATGACTGAAAAGGGGACTGGAAAATCCTGAGAAAGAATGTCAGCCAAATCCAGGATCGAATCTGTGACTTCCTGGTTATTGAGCCAGCGTCATACTCACTGAGTCACCATAGCTCTCATATAGATCATTGGAATGTTATAGGGGCATTAGATAAGATTACATGAAGAGCTGACAGTTCTCGTTATAATAGTTAACAAATAGATAATGAAAAGGGAATATGCTGAAAATTCCAGTCATATTACTTCACTCTGAGCCTAGATATTCGCGATACCATTATGGCATAGCCTTGATTGTCATTACTACTATTGTTACGATAATAAACAAAGTCTTGATTATCCATTTTTATGGTAACCGCATCAAGCACAAAACGTATTCAATATTGCAGCCATCTGATGGTATCATAAGTTGATTATGGTCTTGGTAAGTTTATTAATGTCTAATTAATAATTTATATAACTTTTTGGTCATAAAGAAAAACTTGCAATAGGCAGATTTACCCCTTGCATAATGCCTGTTTCATTTAGACATACATTTCACATTGTTACAGTTTATAAAACAACATTCACAGAGGGAGGTCCAACATACACATTACTTCTGGTTTTCCAATTCAAATATTTTCAAAATAATATTTATTTTGTTGTTCAAGTAAATTATATCTGTCTCAATCTGAAAGACACATGGAAACTGACTTTCTTCTGCGAACTAGATTGTTTACAATTCAGTAACCTCGAGGGATTCATGGAGACTCCATCTTGTGTTACATAACCTTTAATTAATACATAATCATTTCCTTTGATTCTGCAGACGCCTGCAGGCAAGGGAGATAATCATTAGTAGAAAACCTGCTTGGATCAAATGTTGATTAGGCCTATAATAGTTTTTCCCCTGAAAGTTTAATGTACTGTCTGGAGCTTGAGGTAGACATGATGTTTGTCCCCTTTGACAACTTCTCAAAGAAATGAAAATATGGAAGATATAAACCCCTCCGTGATTCATTTTATCGTCATTATGTAATTAAAAACAAACATGTTTTTGTGTGAATTTCATCATGGCTGCCTAGAGCAAATAGAAGTAGGAAGAGGTATCAATTGAAGTAATGAAAATACTTAAATCAGATTTGGAAGCATAATTCAGGATGGTGTTTTGAATTCTACAATTTATTTATTTTTGTTCGGTTGTTTAAACCTCTGCTTCCACAATTATGATGTCGCAGACAACTTGAATTTCAACTGCCAAGAGATCTTTTACAGTCAGTTTATGTGCACTATCAAATTTAAAGAAACGTAATTTTATGTTAATCACTAATGTTTCGAAACACATTGAGAAATACATGATAGGCAATCATAAATCTGGAAGAAAAGATGCACTGTGGACACTTTAACTAGGTCATTTTGAAATTAACAAATTTATTTGCGAAGAAATGGGGTAAAAAATCATCTGGACACTTGAAATAGATCATTTTCAGGAACCAACAAGTTTTATTTACATTTATTCTTAATGTAAAAATATTCCTATCCTTTTTTTTACTATAATTGACTTTATACAGGTGATTATGATACGACGTATTGTTGTTACACCTGTATTTACCTGTGTAGATATCATAACACAGGTAAATAATCACCTATACTTATCACCTACTTATAGCAGATTAAATGAAAACAATTGCTATGGACACACATTCTCCAGGTAATCAACTTGGTCTCAAGAAACAGAAAACAATGTATTTAATCCCTTCCCCAGGTAATTAACCAAAATCTCGTGAGATGGAAACAATGTATATAATCCTTTAAGACACAGGAACCAGTCCCCACGTTGATTACAGGTACTTGACAACAATCAGTTAATCTTCCTCCATTCACCTGTGTATTGTTCCAATCAAAAGGTATTAATTTACAATAGTCTCGTTAACAGGTAATCATTAACTTATATAACCGACAATATACCTATAGTTCCACTTGACAGAAAATACTATTAATAAGTCATGATGTCATTTATTCATTAATCATATTATGTGTAATGCAATATCACCTGAGTTGGAAGCGAACGTTAGAGAAATGGGGTTTTACATCCACTCGACACAAACTAGGTCATTTTGGGACTAACATATGGTTCAATTTTATTTCAATAATTTGCTTGTGCGTAGGGGTCTTTAGCAGTGGAAGGAAACCATAAGACCCAGAAAAAAACCCACAAGGTTGGACAGACGACCCTATTCCTTGTCACGTACAACTGAGGAATCGAAATCATGCCAGTTAACTCAATGACAGACCTTATGATACAGCGCGCAGGTGCTAACCATTTAGCCATCCTACCCCCAGACACATAAAAAACTACATTATATACAAATCAAGATGTAAAAGATTTTCGCCCTTTGTTCTCTGTTTTTTTACAGATGAAAACCAGTGTTTATGGATACCCAATTACTGGATTTATTACTATGTGATGTTTCAACATACTCTCTTCTTTACCAAACATTGAGTTAATATGTTCAATTACTAAATGCCTATCAAAGAGTGACTATGTTTTTGTTCAAAAGGTAATAAACACAACACCCCCTGCAGGGTTTTTAAACAAAACCGGTTTTTAATTCTCGATTTCATGTCTACGTGACTATTATTGCAGCTATCAATAGATCTGTACACCATGCTCATCATATATAAAGGTGGATGGGATATGACACTTCCCTTGTCCGCAATATCACTATAGTGGAAGCAGACATAAAAAGACCTAGATAGATAGATGACACTCTTGTCTGCAATATCACCTCGGTGGAGAGAGAGAGGGTTTAACGTCCACTCGACACAAACTAGGTCATTTTGGGACTAACATATGGTTTAATTTTATTTCAATAATTCGCTTGCGCGTAGGGGTCTTTAGCAGTGGGACGAAACTGGAGGACCCGGAGAAAACCCACGAGGTTGGTCAGGCGACCCTACTCCTTGTCACGTACAATTGGGGATTCGAAACCAGGCCAGTTGACTCATTGACAGGCCTTATGAAACAGCACGCACGTGCTAACCATTCGGCCATCCAAACCCCCTCACCACGGTGAAAGCGGACGTTAAATAAAGCTATTTCACACATAGATGACACTTAATGACACACAGAGAATACAACTCAAATTTTAATCCCTCAAGGCTAATAGGCAATTTATATATTTAAATTTAACAAAACTAAGGATTGACAGATTTTCTTCAGATTATCTAAGATGATTAAATCAAAAAAATGGAGGTTTGATGTCATCTTGATCTTGATGTTCACAGACAGAAATGATTTATTCTTTCGTATCAAACTTACGTTTTAAGACACAATTAGATGACATCATGAAATCAAATTGAAAAGAATGGCAACTCTAAATGGCAATAAATTAACTTGCGTTTGGATTCATCAATTTTTGTCATTATTGAACCAATATGCTTTTTGATAAGACGCCCTTTTAATGTGTGTACGGAAATAAAATGAATTAAAATGGGTGTTTAACGTTCTACTTTTCTACACCAACTAGGCTAATGAAGTTTTTGTTATCTTAACTCCAATCATTACTCTTGTGAAAATTCCAGAGCAAGGGCTAGATTAATCAAGACCACAAGTATTCAAAAGCAGGTAGTGTGCTCTATTAGCAAGTGGCTGGATTAGTCAAGACTACAAGTATTCAAAAGCAGGTACTGTGCTCTATTAGCAAGTGGCTAGATTAGTCAAGACTACCGGTACTCAAAAGTCTGTGGATACTTAATGTTAGGCTGAGATATTACTCAATGCATTATTTAACTTTCTGTTCAATAAACTTCTAAAACAGCTGAATAATCTTCACTTATACAAAATGGAGGAATTGGTCCGTTTCGAAATGTTTATTTACGCATTTAGACTGTGTCTGGATGAAAGCACCTGCTTCAACTATACTGTAATTAGAACATTATTTAAATGTGAAACTTAAGTAATATTAATTCTGTATGTTCTGAGTTAGCAACTTCCTCTAGGTAGAACCATGCGGTATCTTAATCAAGCATACAAATGTACATTTATCTAATATTTGTTAAACAGGTGCTTGGTGGGGTAAAATGTTGTTTTATTGGCATCTGCCCATGAAATTATCATATTAAATACATATGTACATGATTTATCTTCAGCTTAAAAGATAAAACATACAGGTAAACATATTAAACATTTCAAGGCCTATATAAAGGCCTAACAGGAAAATCTGTTTACCATCAGGCAACTGGTGGCAATCAAAGAAACTGAACTAAAATTTAATCTAAAATTTATGGAACCTTTCAAATTTTCGCCATTTTTTAGAGGGAGGAGGAATCGGGTCGATTAATTGTCATCCCAACAGTATCAAGACATATTTTATTTATTTCTCTCAAGCAGCCATTAACTGTTACTACTGTCAACAAAATATCGTGAAGCAATTTATCAATACAGATTGCACATGACATGTATGTACAGATATTTTAATTTGCCTTTTTTTTATCTAACTTCCGTTTGTTCTGATAAGACTTACATAAGGATCTTCCACGACATCTGACATTCGTAGAGAAATAATTTTTATTAAAGACATGCCTTTATCTAAATCCTGGTTTTCCGTCCATTAATCTCTTCTTTATCACATTTAAATATTTCACAAACGTTCCACTCAAATCAAGCTTAATCAACAAACCAAGAGTTTATTTGCAAAACACGACATAAACATAAGTTTGTGTAGATAAACACTCTCTCTCTCTCTCTCTCTATGTCTCCCCCTTCTGTCTCTCTTCCCTTCTCTCTCTCTCCTGTTTCTCTCTCTCTCCCCCTTCTTTCTCTCCCCCTTCCCTATCACTCCTCCCTCTCCCCATCTCTCCTCCCTCTCTCTTTCTCTCCCCCTTCCATATCTCTCCACTCTCTCTCTTTCCCTTCCCCATCTCTCCTTCCCCATCTCTCCTTCCTCTCTCTCTTCCCCATCTCTCCTTCCTCTCTCTCTTCCCTATCTCTCCTCCCTCTCTCTTTCTCTCCCCCTTCCATATATCTCCACTCTCTCTCTTTCCCTTCCCCATCTCTCCTTCCTCTCTCTCTTCCCTATCTCTCCTCCCTCTCTCTTTCTCTCCCCCTTCCATATATCTCCACTCTCTCTCTTTCCCTTCCCCATCTCTCCTTCCTCTCTCTCTCTTCCCTATCTCTCCTCCCTCTCTCTTTCTCTCCCCCTTCCATATCTCTTCCCCCCTCTCTCTTTGTCTCCCCCTTCCATATCTCTCCTCACTATCTCTATCTCTCTCCCCCCTTCCCTATCTCTCCTCCCTCTTTCTCTGGTATAACTAGAGATCATTACCTTGATCAAGAACACAATATACTTTGCCTCAGCCATTTCAAACTAATATTATTCTACCTACAGACACAAATCACTCGGCTAGATTACTGATTACATTAGCTCTTAAAAAAATATATATAAAGATTGTTTAACTCCATGATAAAGATAACCAGAATGAAAAATTATCAGTGCCATATTTCAAATTGTCAGCATATCTTTAATTCCATGTCATAAAAAAAAAATAAAGAGGGCAAATGTTTATCAATCTTACATAAATATATTATGATCATGTGGAATCGCAAATGGATGCCAACAAATATCAGTCCGAAATCACGCTAAATAAATGCCACATAACCACGATATCTCTACTAACTGAACATGAATTTCATGAACAGAAACATGGCGGGTGAAATTTAGATTCCCTGGCTGTGGATTGGACAAGGATGAGGATTTTAAAGTTACAGATTAGAATCGTTGAAATTCTATGACTGCAGATTGGAACTGTTGAAATTCTATGACTGCAGATTGAAACCGTTGGAATTTCATGACTGCATAGTGCATATTGGAAAAGATTGAGAATTTCATGGCTGCAGATTGGAAATGGTTGAGAATTCCATAGCTGCAGATTTTGGCTCCCATCATGAAAATACACTTAAAATAAAATCTATTACAGTTAGTCTCGAGGAACTGGAGAGTTAACTTTCACTTGCCAAGAGTAGCTGTCTCCAGTCCAGGAATATCCGCAGGTGTACAAATTAGAATGCAAAAAGCCTCGAGAGCTGGAAATCGTTGGAGAATGGACAGAAAACATGGCCTTGCATTTCACATGACATAAAATTTGACTATGTTAGTCTCAAAATGACCAAAATATTGTGTGGAGGTGACATTAAACCTCATTCCATTCCATAGCAATGTCCAAGTATAAATGGAAATCGTTCGAGAATGGACAGAAAACATGGCCTTGCATTTCACATGACATAAAATTTGACTATGTAAATCTCAAAATGACCAAAATATTGTGTAGAGGCGACATTAAACCTCATTCCATTCCATAGCAATGTCCAAGTATAAATGGAAATCGTTGGAGTATGGACAGAAAACATGGCCTTGCATTTCACATGACATAAAATTTGACTATGTAAGTCTCAAAATGACCAAAATATTGTGTAGAGGCGACATTAAACCTCATTCCATTCCATAGCAATGTCCAAGTATAAATGAAATGAAATGAAATGGGGTTTAATGTCCTACTGGGCTAATGAAGACGGGCACATGCCATACAGTGTGCTATGAGGGAAATTTTGCCCGGCACTACAGACTACTTTTATATCAAATTCCAACTGCCAAGGGATCTTTTACGTGCACAGCAATCTGTAAACAGAATCTTGGTTTTCCATACCATCCGAACCACTAGACAGCTGTCCTTGTCAGAACCTCCAAAATCCAAGAGTATTTGCCCGCAAAGCCCTTGAAAAATGGAAATCAAAAATGTCACTGTCAAGGCAAAATTTTGCTACCTTGCATATGTTAGTCTCAAAATGGCCAAAATTTTGTGTTCACAGAACATTAACCGTTATTTTATTCACAGCAATAAGCCACCAGTATGTCTAGTAATTAATCGCACAGAAAGAAGCAGAAGGAGAAATGTTTTTTTCTCATGGTAAAACCCCAGCATGATACGAACAGGACTTGAGAAATACAGGGCCTACCAGTAGACAACTTGTTTTATTTCTATTCAATCACTCAGAACTTCACAGGTGGCAACATCGACTGTCGGTACTCATAAAATACCTCCTAATAGACCAGAAAATTATTTTTCTAACAAACTCATAAAAATATGAGACAGAGATAGTAAAATTGGCCAATAAAAATCCTTGTATTTTCTTACAGTAACGTAGATCACTTCAGAAAAAAAATATTAACCGAGAAATAAAAAGCGGAGGGACATAAATTCCGTCTTTGAAAATTTGTCGAGAGTAACCATTAACACCGGCTCCTGTGAACTAAGTAATACGTGCTTACTGAGCCATATGTGAATAAAAATGACTATTTCAAGGTTTTAAAAAAATATGGGTGAAATTTATCAAAGGTTAGAAATGATGAATTTACCAAACATGGGTTCATAAATTGACATATTTAATATTTAGAACGAGATTTTATAAACATTTAAGTGCATGTAGGTTTTTGATCCTGTGTAGATCAGATGTGATAAAATAATTCAAGAATGTGGTTGATAATTTTTAAAACGAAAGTGTAAAGTATTGAACATAGCAGTCTCATAACTGGCAACGCAATTCCTTTTCATGTACATGGGTGGGAAATGAAATGAAATAAAACAGAATTTACGTTCCTACTTTCTGCACCATGCTGTATGTATGCTATAACGAAAATTTTCTTAAATAAAGAGAAAGAGAGAGAAATGGGGTTTAACATCCACTCGACACAAACTAGGTCATTTCGAAACCAACACATGGTTCAGTTTTATTTCCATAATTCGCTTGCGCATAGGGGTCTTTAGCGGTTGGAGGAAACAGGAGGACCTGGAGAAAGCCCAGAAGGTTAGACAGACAACTGGGGAATTTAAATGAAATAAAACATGGTATTAGTTTTTACTTTCTCCACCATGTAGTGTGTAAAAAGAGTAATTTTGCTCTAGTGTTGCTCTAGTGTTTCAATCAATCTGGTTAAAACACAAATTTCCCTCATAACACACTACTTAGTGTATATGCCCCTCTTCATTAGCCCAGTTGGAGAACAGTAGGATGTTAAACCCCATTTTATTTCATTTCATTCTGAAAGGGGGAACCAGGTAGGAAAATCTTAAGGAACTTTCTCAGCGAACACCAGGACTGAACCTAAAACTTCCTGGTTAGTGAGGCAGCACCTTACCCACTGAGCCATTGACAATAAGCAGAACACATGGACTTTTAAATCAATATCATATAACAATATGCAGATGCCATAGATTTTTAAACAAAAAAAAAGATTTCTCTGAGTTCATTAATAAATGATCTAAAATACAACTGGGGTGTAATAATTTACTCCACTTGGGACAACTGCATCAAAAATCCATCAATATTTCATATATTTCAGATAAACGCATTGATAGGTTTCTGAAGAAAAGCAATTTAAATATTTGCAAAAAAATATTGTCATTGAGAAAAATGAGTTAATTAGCTTTATAATGGCTAATGGCGTTGAATCCAGTCGATAACGAGTACCGACAAATTAACGAAGCTAAGTTCTTATACAGGAAACCCACTTAGGAAATATACAAAACTTGAAACATATGTCAGATACGTGTACGTCAAACTTTGAAGTGTGTCCAAATTATAATCGGACACCGACATATGATTTAAAATAATTTTTTTATAATGTATTAAAAACAATATTTCCACCTCCCCATTAACCAAAATATGTTCATTTGCCGACTCCAGAATAATTGAATGTTTTACAGAATACTCCAACAAGGGCCCAATCACAGAAATTCAAGCAATCATTGCACTTCTATCATTTCCACCAAACAATTTTTGAACATTAGGGGGTCAAATTGAAACAAGAATTTTTAAGACTAATATTACGATATTATTAATGGTAAAGCCTTTGAAAAAATCCCCCAGTAAAAACCATTTTGGTGTATTGGGCTATTCTGGCAAATATAAGAGAAATTCAAGCATCTGAACATGTGTTCAACCACCACCACGAATCCAACAACCCCATACACCTATTCTCCTACCCCACAGACAATATCTTATTCTGTATAGTCTTTCTTTCTCTTATAGTAAACCTGATTTAGAGCAGTTTTCACTAAAGGGGCAACAGTTACATGTATCAGACTTCAACATTATGTAATTGGACTGATTTAAAACCGTTTTGATTTAAGATGGCAACATATTTCAGTAATTTGGCTAAATCTGACGATGTATAACATTTAATGTCGTGAGAAATCTTTACCGCTTAAACATCAAAATGATAATTTTAATTTTTCATGCAAATCACAGAAGTCATACACTTCACAAGTTCACATATTTCTAGAGATTTATCTCAAGTTAAATAAAAAAAAATATATAAAATAAATCAACTTACCATTCAATGAATGCAGCTAATTCTTAAATCCACAATCCTAAATTATTACTGTTTTGCTGAAGTTATTTCCAATCACTGAAAATAAATAGAAAATTTTGTCCTGAATACTTTTTGGTTTAAGAAACTAAAGAATAATAACACTTTGTCATACACTGTATGCTGACTACTCTCATACCATTAACTGAGAGTAGAGACTCACTGGTTTATAATAGCACTTGATCAATTACTAACTAGTATTAGCCTCCAGCTTGTTTCAGCTTCACGAATAGATATCTATCGAGACAACTCTTCCTAATTCAGACCCTAAAAATAATCACAGCAGACACCCTTTTTTGGTTAATTCAATTGATAATATTAATACTTAATCCTATTAATAACACTCACTGCCTTTATTTAATTTCTGGTACTAATTTTGACTGTAGGTATCGGTAACAACTCTTTTCTAATTCCGACCCTCAAAATAATCACAGCAGACACCCTTTTTTGGTTAATTTAATTGATAAATTATCACTTAATCCAATTAATAACACTCACTGCTTTTACTAAATTTCTGGTACTAATTCGTACTGAACAGTCTGAGTTTTTGTTTCCCTGTATTACAACACACTTCTGACTGACACCAGTAGTCCTAAACACATCACAGGTTTTCACATGACTGACTATATGTTCACTCCACTCATTAATATGTCATCGCTTGCCTTCTGTCTTACAGCTACTAAACCCTACTAGAGAGCTCTCAATGATCACTAAATAGCACTCCTACTAAACAAAACACCCCAAAAAATTCAGTCTCTTTCAATCTGTAATCACTGCTTATTTTCATCTAAGTTACAGTACAAGCCTTTCACTGTGTACAAATCGTGAGAATAACCGACTCAGATCTGTCTACACCGAGTAATAACTAAATTATGAATATAACAAGTTTGCCTCGTCACTCCAGCAGTTATAATTATGAACAAATATATATAAGCCGGGCTCTCAGCAGCAGGCGGGCAACTCGTACTAATAATGGAGAGAGAGAGAGAGCCAATTATCCAAACTTCTTACTGTATCAGACGACACAACACAAGTAGGCTATCACCCTCAAGCCACTACAAATACCTACAAATGTTACTCCGCTATTAACTAGCCAATCTATCACTGAAGGAAGCACCATGGAATCTGGCCTATACCATTCCACAATATTTGCATTACATAGAAACAAGCTTGGAGAGGTGGTGTGGGCTCGTCTAACCTAAACCATCTGTATAAATACGATTGGTCGGGAGCATGGCTACTATTTATCGTCTTAACTTAATGGACAGACAAAATTAAACCCACAAATATTTGCTTTCAGATTTCCTCAACATTTTTGAATTTTTGTATGGAAATTCTTGAGTATTGTGTCTTTTATCAGACAATAGTTATTTCTAAGAGCAAGTTGATCTTAACAACCTATTGACTTTAACAACCAAAGATTTTTTTTTTATTCTCCAACCCAAACATGAATGAGTGTCTATTTTCTCATTGTATTTTGATAGAATTTCTTCATTTACACCAACATGGCTTACATTTCAAACGTCTTGTTAACCTTTCTTTAGTCATGTTCAAGGAAACTGTATTGACAAATAGTTTGCCGAGTTAAGACATTCAGTCATTTTATCCTTCTTTTTTTTTTTGTTTAAAAGTATCACATAGTTGACATATTTGAATGTTCAAAATAATTTTGCATTCCTCTACTTATTATATTCAACCCCCTTTTTTTATTTCAATTTAAAAGCTCAAAATGAAGTTATAATTTTGAATGTCTACAAATTATATTAATGGGGAGAAAATAAAAACAAATTTGAAAGCTCTTTATAACGTAATACCTAAAATTTGAGATTTTTTTATTTTTTTTTTTATAGAAATTTATGAATTCTACATTTTGATTTTATCTCATGTATGCACTTAACAGCAAAATTATCACAATATCGTCAAAAAAAAGTTTTTTAGGAAGGTTTAAGAGAGTTAAAAGAGGCTTAGAAATTAAACTAAATACATGTAGCTAGTTTATTTTAAAGCCCCAATCTGCCAGAATAAATTTTAATTATAAAGTGTATTTTTTTTTTTATCAATTAAGCTAAATAGCTAAGTTATCTTAAAGCCTGAAACTTCCAGCATTAAAATCAAATATATAATGTTTAAAGAGCATACACAATCAAAAATACTTTAATTAAAAAGCACTTTAAATACACAGCTAATTTGTACACAGGAACATCTTAATAACTATCTAATCCCTTGTGTTTTTTCAACACTAAAGGAACTTCTCAGTATTTTCACCTTTTTTGGAGGGGGTGGGTGATGGTGGCCCATAAAAGTAGATAATAATTTTGTCATCAGAACAGGGTCAAAATATCTAACTAGTTTACATCAGTCGATAACTGTTACAGCAGTCAACAAAATATTCTTTCCTGTATTTTAAGGGGTTTTATATATATATGATCAAAGTATTGAAATATCAAGAATATTAAGAATTAGGATTTTAATTCACATCAAATCAGAAAAGAAGTCCTATATTTTCTTGTGATTCTTCCATCATTTGGGGTTATAATTATATCATAGCACCGGAATCTCAAGAATATTGAAGATAGAAGATTTTAATCCACATCAAAAGAAAATAATAATTTGTCCTTGTAATTCCACAGTTGGGGGAGTTATTTTATCAAAGTGCTGTAATATCAAGAATATAAGATAAAGGATTTTAATCCAAAAAGACAGAAGAATTATTTTGTTCTTATCATAAAAACATTGGAATCTCAAGAATATTAAAGATATAGGATTTAATCCACAACAATTTAAAAGAGAAGAACTATAAATAAGAGCTTTAATTAACCTTGTCAAGATAATGCAAGTTGAGAAAAGGGATAAAGATCTTAATCTGTTCCCAATATGGAAAACTAGTTAACTCTGTGGAGGTTATGTAAACTTATAATTTTAATTTGTTTCCAATCTGGTTTGATAAATCTGGTTTACAGAGTCTTATTGTTTAAAACTATCATTAAATTAGATTAAGATATTTTATATAAATAGAAACATCAGAGTCAGGAATATCCAGACTTGTGCAAAGCTGGTAGTAGGCCTGGGCCAGATGTGGTGATACATAGGCCCTATTTTGAAAAGGCTCATTAAGTTTTTCTATAATCAGTGCTAAATACGTATAATTTATAGTTTTTCAGTGTTTTGTTGAAATTTTCAACCTATGTTCAGTTCATAATCGAAATGTCAGGTCCTAGTTCATTATACCCTTTGTGTGTACCTCATCAAGGATCACTGATAAAATTTTAATTGGTTTTCAATCCATCCATTTAATAATACCAAAGATTAAAGAGAAGGATTGGGTATGGTTAAATCAAATTTAAAACCAGGGGCCCCGTTTCACAAAATTTTAACTAAGATAAAATCCAAATTTTGGTAATTTGATTGGATAATATTAGATTGATTTTTGTACTTAGCCAATCAAAATTGAAGTATCTACTAAAATTTGGATTTTATCTTTAGTTAAGATTTCGAGAAACAGGGCCCTCAACAAAATAAAACTGACATAAACACATCCATGGTGAACCTGACAAAAGGATTTGAATGAGTGTGAAGGAAAATGACCAGGGTTGATGCAAGGACCCCAGTGCAAGCTTCATCTGGCCCCCGATTGTTAAAGGGACATTATGGGAGATTAAATAAAGAATTGACAGTGCTAGCTATAATAGTTAAAAAAAATAGATAACATCAATAGAATATGCTGAAATTTCAGTCAAATTGCTCCAATCTGAACACAGAGATATTAGCTTTTGAATTTTAAGTGAGCCTTGATCATCATTACTAAAGTCGGTATGATAAAAACCAAAGTCTTGATTATCCATTTTTACGTTAAATTATTTTTCAAAAAATATATTCCAATCCACTAAATATCGCAGGCTAGCAGCAATGGCATCGAGAGTTGATTATGGTCTGGATAAGTTAATTAATGTCTAATAATTTAGAGAACATTTCAGGCCTAAAGAAAGATTTACAATAGGCAGATTTAGCTCTTGCATAATTTATGTTTAATAGTTAAACTAAATTCAGAAATAAATAACATGAAATGGGGTTATACGTCCTACTCATCTGTACCAACTGGGCTAATGAAGACAGGGTAAATTAAGAAACCAGGACATAATAATATTTAAACACAATCCATGGAGAACCTGATGGGAAGAGATATGACATGTATATGTTTAGATATGACAGAAGCTTATTCAATACTAGCAGTTTTTCTACTTAATGACTTATCATATAATCAACTGACAATATATATCTAACATTCACTTTATCGACCAGTTCTCTTCTACTCTTGTGTTCTGTATGTAACAATTGTTCTTTAAGGCCAATATCAAAAATATCTTGTTGCATGTAATTGTTAACATAAATGAAATGAAATGAGGGTTTAAAGTCCTATTTATCTGCAGCAACCAGGCTAATAAAGAGCCAGGACATTTGACCAACAAGTGCAAAGGGGGATGATATTTTTTGGTCCCATCCGAAAGACTGGACACTTTTGCAGATTGGTCCTCTGTCCTACACCACTGATAAGGAGAAACCAGGGTGAAACATCCGGATGAAGTTTCTCTGCCAACATCAGGATGGAACCTTCTTATTAGTGAGTCGGCACCCTACCCACTGAGCCACCACGGCTGCATTTTTTTTTTTTTATCAGTGTGGCTCCCAGTCAGATTATGGCTTTAGATGAATTAAACATTAAAATATTGAATATCGAATTTACCATACATATTTCACTTTCCAAATTGAATTTTTGGAGAGATATTTCATATTCCAAATACAATTTTCAGAGAAATATTTCATCTTCCAAATCTAATTTTCAGAGAAATATTTCATCTTCCAAATTTAATTTTCAGAGAAATATCTCATTTTCCAAATTGAAATCTAAAGAGCCATCAAGTCTAAAACTGACAACTACTTCCTTGTTCTAAAAGTCCAATAAAGGCAAATCAACAAATTCTAAATAAAAATTGGCCTTATCAGCTTAATATTATCTCCCCAGTAGCCGTGTATACCTGATAATCATACTACCATACTAGGTGGGGGAGAGAACTCTCGGGAGAGAACTCTCAGGGGAATTACATAACCCAATTAACTGCTTGCCTTCATCGCAATTAGATACAATTTTAATCTAAACAATTTGTATAAGCTTAAAATAATGAAGAGAAGTAAACACGGCCACTCGGGAATAATCTGGGTATTTATTTTCATATTAATCACATCAGGTTGTACCTTGTCGATACGGAGAAAAATTACTTACACGAGCGCTTTATTGAATAAATTGCTAACTATTTCCAGATTCCACAACAAGCTGTGTCAGTTAATAAAACGAGATAAAATGGAGAACTAGGTCAATGCATTTCTTCAATCTTATCCTTAATCAAATCAGTTATTCTTGCGTAATAATGTGATTAAAATGGCATTAATCACTTCTAGGGAAGATTCACCAGTCATCAATGATCGTAGAACATTTACTTGCATTCTAAGAAAAGATAATTGCCAACTGCCTGCGTTTACCAAAAAAAAAAAAATTAAAAAATTCTGTTACAATTGCGGAACAGACAATCTAATATTGTACAATATGTAATTTACATGGAAACTACAGAAATTGGTGAAAAACGTTGATTGCCTTGTATTGTTTTTAATGTGTTATATGATTTAAAGGTGTAGTCCCAGATTGTCTTGTGTTCTTTTGAATGTATAACTCAATTTAAAGATGCAGAAGGTCCAGTTCCAGATTGTCTTGTTTTGAATGTGTCATTCAATTTAAAGATGCAGTCCCAGATTGTCTTGTGTTGTTTATAATTAGTAACATGATCTAAAGATGCAGTCCCAGATTGTGTTGTGGTGTTTATAATGTGTAACATGATCTAAAAGCTTTAAAGGTGCAGTCCCAAAATATACTCGATATTCATTTATAAACTCAAGTTTAAGTAAGCAAATCAAATGCGAAAAAAGAAAGGAAATTGCATGGGATGGACCTTTTTGTCGACAGAATACTTCGATCCTTTGGAGATGAATATAAATTGGATTGCCAAAGGGT